CCCCCCCCCCCCCCCCTCCTCAATCTCCTATTCATGCAGTCCATGGAACACTTCCCTGAATGGCTTCTCTTGAAATGTTTTGTTTACGTTCTTTCATCCCCTGTTTCATCTCTATAGGCAGCGGCTATTTCAGTCATTTCTGTAGCCTAATGCATCCTGTCTCTCTCTGTCTAGACGACTATAAATCAGAGCTGAGGGAGCAGTTGCCGCTGATTGCGGGCTCAGCCGCGGCTGGAGTGGTCTTCATTGTGTCTCTGGTGGCAATATCTATAGTCTGTAGCAGGTGAGTTGGCCATTATGGAACCAGACGTATGACTGCTGCATGTGCTCTCAAGGATGAAAAGCCTCGAACTAGTTCAGACTAGCTGAATGTGTTCCTGGGTTATGCTTTTACTTAAAGTAAATGTGAAATGTCATATACCAAATCATCTGCAATGGAGCCATCTACAAATATGTATCGATAATTTGGTCAGTGATACAAACAGAAACATTGACAAATCAGATATTTAATCTAAAATGTTTAACATGTTATGAATTATATACTCTACTATTCAAAAGTAGGAGGTCTGTAAGAGAGTAGAACAGTAATATTGTGAAATATTACAGTATAGTTTATTTTTATGATAGTGAAGCTGAATTTTCAGCATCATTACTTGTCATGTGTCACAGTGTCACATGATCCTTCATAAATATAAAAATACAAATTCTAATACGCTGCTTGTTGTTGAGTTGTTGCTCATGAAACATTTCTACATTTCATATATATATATATATATATATATATATATATATATTAGCATTTATTTGAAAATCATTTATTCGTATCTTTTGTAACGTTATGATTGTCTTTACTGTCACTTTTGATCAATTTAATGCATCCTGGCTAAATAAAAGTATAAACAATACTTATTGACCCCGAACTTTTGAACAGTACTATTTTTATGTATTTAATATTAAACATTTTAGTGCATATTAATCATAAAATAGTACACATTTTAATTATATATTGATTAAATCTAAGTTTATTTACTTTTCTAGCATTTTATTACCATTGTAAACATTTAATATTGAACACCATAGTACATACTAGCTTCTTTTTTTTTTTTTTTAATTTTCAGGGATTTGTTCATGCCATATTTCAAATCTCATTGGTTGGAAGATAACCACTAGCTCTCCTCATAGCACAAACTCATACTGATAAATTGGTCTTTATCTGAGTTGGTTTTTTGCTGTAGTGTAACATTAATGATGGGTGAGCTGATGCAATTCCTGTAAACAGTAAGCAATTCAAGCTTTTAATCCAAAAATAAAAGGAATTGGATCACAAAAGGCCTTTACAAACCACCAGACACAAATATATCCAAACGAACCCAACAAAAAGTTTTGTTTTCAGACTTTACTTTTGGTCAGACAGAAATTTAGATCACAAAGCCTTTGAAAGGCTTTTTCTATAATTGTGGTCTCAAATATTGAATACAACACCACTACATTACACACAAAATCAAAACAAACTGCGATTTGTCACTTAAGATAACAATTAGACAGTCTCTGACTGAGCTGGTAGCTGATTCTTTGCCAGAATAAACTGCGATTTGAACCAGACTTTACTTCTTTGTCAAAGACTCTTAACATGACACTATAATCCAGGCTCTGCTCCATTATATTTCAGCAAGCTGAGCTATGCTATGCTGCACATATAACATGAAATAACCTCCATATATAACATACATGAAATTATCCCCTTGTAGATGATCTATACAAGTGGAGCTGGGGAAGGTGGAGGGTTTCTGAAACGCACTTCAACTACTACAGCCATGTATTTTAATGTTGAGCAGCAAGCTCATTGGCTGCTGATGTGAAGAGGAACCAATCAGCTTTGCCTTGTGAATAATCATGTGATTATATCAGATTGAGTTACACGTAGAACCTATCAGCCTGCGCCATCTAGAGGTTCATGACAGAACTTTGTATTTCTTAATTTTATATTCTCTCCCCCTCTTTCTCTCAAAGGAAACGAGCTTACACTAAGGAGGCCGTATACAGTGACAAACTCCAGCACTACAGCACCGGAAGAGGTGAGCAAACCCCTTATGCTATTGAGACCGTTGACGCTGACGGACATCTTTGTTTTACACTCATCTCCGCCTCTTCCTCTGGGGCAAACCCGTCCTGTTTTAATAAAAGAGAAAGCAAGCATATAGGAAAACAAGGCGAGAGATGTGAGGTTACAGGAAACGCCGCGGGATGCGGTGTAACGAAGGAAAGGAACGAGGGATCGCTTCAGGCCTGTGCACTTTTAAGAAGCTGACACTAAAAAGCTTCCTACCTATATGCATCCCGTAGCCCTGCGAGAAGCTTCAGGCTCATTAGGAAGTGAGAACTCTCTCTCTTTCTCTGTCTCCTTGTAAGCAACCTCTCCGAGGATACGGTGGGCGATCTGTGAAGCTAAATTTAATTAACATAAGTGCAGACGAAAAAGTAAACAAATGATGTGACAGCCAGACTCACACATCAAACAGACAATTTAGAAAGAAGAAAAGAGAGCAGAGACTGTGAGAACATGATCTTGTTGCCAGGAGAAATATTCGGATAATTACTGTATCAGAATTAATTCAGTCTTGAATGTCAATGCATATGAGCTAAAACAAAGCGAAGGACACTCCACTATGAATATAATTAACAAAAATGTCACAGCCATTCTTGGGTTTCCCAACATTAGAATTATTAAAACTTTTTTAAGGAAGTGTGGAGTTGGTGTCTGCATACAGAAGTGAACTTCATCAGGACTTTCAAACTTATTCCAGCAGGAAATTAAATAATTACCTTCAGCACCAAGGACAGACTCTCTTTAACAAAAATGTAATAGTAGTTTGTATGAAAAAAAAAATCAACAGTTAGTATTGTAAAATCATATTTTTATATGGGAAATGCTTCAGATAGTCAAAAGTTTCTTATTTATTTATTTAGTTATTGACAACTGCTGTATTTTTATTGTAGCATTATTGACTATAACTATGGTATTTGAGTAAAAACTGGTTACCATGATGTATTATTTTATTTTTTAGATTTAATTTCTTTTAGATTTGTTGATATACTAAAGTTGATTTGGGCTATTAAAATGAAGAAAAGTGACCTCATATCAGATAACTTCAGCTTCAGTGTTTTTGGATGACTGTGTGAGTGTATTAAAACATATTTCACAACAGGAGACTGCTGGGAAACAATACCATAAACTTGTGTGGAGCCTGGAGTTTATGTAACACAACATATATAATATAAAAATAAAATTAGATATCTATCTATCTATCTATCTATCTATCTATCTATCTATCTATCTATCGTTCTGTCAATACATTCATCCATTTATCTATCATTCTATTTTATAATTCTATCCTTCTATTTTTGATTCAGACATCTCAATGTTCTATCGACCATTCTTCCATCAAACCAATTCTCTCCGTTTTTCCTTTTATCGTTCTGTCAGTCTGTTCATCATTCCATCCATCCATCCATGCATCTACTGTATCTGGTGTTATATTTATTTTGTAAATAGCTTAATTATATCTTGAAGTATAATGGTAGCACACAAGTTTTGTCCCCCCATGAAATAGCAGCATTACCGTACTTGCACAGGCAGTTATAGGAGTCAGTGTGAAATTGTAAGTGCCATGTTCTCTTAAATTTCCCTTTTTGTTTGTTGTGTCACAGCTATTTATGTAGCTTTATTTTGCTGAGTCACAACCAGTGCTGTTGTGCTAGTCACTAATCTGGAACCTGGTTAGAAATGAAACGCCCACCACTCTTTCTCTCTCACTCTCTGTTTCTCTCTATAATGAGCACCCTAAGGAGTTGAAAGACTTAAATTGCTGTGAATGGAGAAAAATTAATGCTGGACATAAAATGGAAATGTGGTTATGTGTAAAATATTGATTTAAAGCCTAATAGAACCTTGCAATAGTGAGGCAGCCGTAATGTGTCAGGGTCATAATGGAGTACGCTTCATAACGCATGGCATTTTAATACCAGAGAGAGAGACATAAATAATTGTCATGACAATGGAATTTTAATAATTGCTTAACAATGAATAAATTACTTTGTTGGATGGATGGATGGCAGTAGATAGAATATTAGTTCGAATGATAAAGATAGAATAATATAACGATAGAAAGATTGATATAACAATAGAACAACATAACTAGATAGATAGATAGATAGATGTAGTGGAGATAAAAGGATAAATATAAAAAAAAATAATAAACAATAAATAATCTCCATGATAATTACATTTTAATAATGGTTTAAAGGTGACATATCATGAAAATCTGACTTTTCCAGGTTTTAAGTGCTCAAAACAGATGGTTTTTAGCAGGCACGAGCTGTAATGGCGCAGCTCTATTCTGGAAAAGGGGGCGGGGAGCAGCAGCTCATTTGCATTTAAAGAGACAGGCCCGAAAAAAAAGCGTGTTCCTGCTTCCACACAAAATAGGCATTTTCAAAATGTTATAATAAATGATCTGTGGAGTATTCTGGGGACACCTGAGACTTATATTACACTAGACTTATATTAACTATATAGATAGATGTACAGACAGCTAGATGGATAGATAGATAGATAGATAGATAGATAGATAGATAGATAGATAGATAGATAGATAGATAGATAGATAGATAGATCTGGTCATTCATTCTGGGCTCTCTCTCCTGCGGGATAGGGCTTCAGTGCAGTGGCAGAGCAGTTGGTGTTCCAGGCACGCATGGATCAAGTGGCGATGAAATATTAACATATATATATATTTTATTTCCCTTTCTCAGCCATAAGAAACGAGTGGAGCTGTTACGATGCATTACTCTAGAGGACAAGGAGAGACAAATATAAGCAAGCTTGGTTTTGCTTCCAGTGAGGTTATTGTAGAAAAAAAGCACGATTATGCAACCTGGAGTTGGTGATATACTGAAGGTCAGACTGACCCCAGTGACTCGTTCCTGAATTATATCCATTTTACTTCATCTGCGATTTTGTGTAAATAGCCCGGTCCTTCACTGTTACACTTCTGGGGCCACACAAATATAAGCAAGCTTGGTTTTGCTTCCAGTGAGGTTATTGTAGAAAAAAGCACGATTATGCAACCTGGAGTTGGTGATATACTGAAGGTCAGACTGACCCCAGTGACTCGTTCCTGAATTATATCCATTTTACTTCATCTGCGATTTTGTGTAAATAGCCCGGTCCTTCACTGTAAAGCTACCACATCTGAACTTTTTATTATTATTATTATTATTAATATAAAATATTCTAGGGCTAATTGTAGTCCAGACCCAAGTTAATGCAATTGATTGAACCATGCTTAGAAAGTTGGCATTGTGATTGTCACAATGTTTTGGAAAAATCAGCATTAATTATCTGCTGTCTGAACACTGTAAACAGTATAAATTGCATTGGAAAAGTTGCACACGCCAGCTTTAAAATGCAATTTTTAATCTTTAATACTCACAGTTTGATATCTGAAAACTTTGCTTTCATACTTTGGGAATTTTAGGGCTTTTTTAGTTGCTAAATGTTATGTAACACCAGAATAAACTTGGATTGTTTTGTTTTGTGTTTTGCCTTGTGTTTTGTTTTATGTTTTTGTGTGTGTGTGTGTTTTGTTTTCTTTTGTTTTGTTTTTGTTTTATTATTTTGATTAGCAGTCACTTTCATCCAAAACATATAAGTTCTTACAAATCTGGCTTCCTTTAATTGACTCTTGGGAATCTAATCTTCTCTTATTTCTTGATCCACACCTCTAAACAGGTCGTAGACATTTGTCTCCGTATGTCTGAACACTGTAAACAGTATAAATTGCATTGGAAAAGTTGCACACGCCAGCTTTAATATGCAATTTTTAATCTTTAATATTCACAGTTTGATATCTGAAAACTTTGCTTTCATACTTTGGGAATTTTAGGGCTTTTTTAGTTGCTAAATGTTATGTAACACCAGAATAAACTTGGATTGTTTTGTTTTGTGTTTTGCCTTGTGTTTTGTTTTATGTTTTTTTGTGTGTGTGTGTTTTGTTTTCTTTTGTTTTGTTTTTGTTTTATTATTTTGATTAGCAGTCACTTTCATCCAAAACATCTAAGTTCTTACAAATCTGGCTTCCTTTAATTGACTCTTGGGAATCTAATCTTCTCTTATTTCTTGATCCACACCTCTAAACAGGTCGTAGACATTTGTATCCGTCAAATTGTGAAGTTCAAATCTGCTATCCTTTGGTTATGAGCTTGGTTCTTTCACCACTGCCATTCTATCCCCACATTTAATCTAGTTAAAACTTCTCAGTTATCCTAAAAGTGTCACCCATTAATAAGACATAACACTGGAGAGATTCAGAACTTCCCCCTGTATTGTAGGTGATGTTCAGCAGTAGAAGCTTCATTGCTTTTTGATGGTTTTAAGGGTCTTTCACTCATTCCTCCTCTTTGTGTGCCTCAGGTGAGTTCGGGGAGGTGTATAAAGGTCGACTGAAACTACCTGGAAAACGAGAGATCTACGTTGCCATCAAAACACTGAAAGCAGGCTATTCTGAGAAGCAGAGACGTGACTTCCTGTCCGAGGCATCAATCATGGGGCAGTTTGACCACCCCAACATTATCCGCCTGGAGGGTGTGGTCACCAAGAGCCGACCGGTCATGATCGTCACAGAGTTCATGGAGAACGGGGCGCTCGACTCCTTCCTTAGGGTAAGTGCAACATCCAAAACAAGCAACCTCTGTCTCTCTCTCTCTCTCTCTCTCTCTCTCTCTTTCTCTGTCTCTTTCTCTGTTTTCTTCTCTTGCGATGCTCTCGGCATGTTTATTG